TGTCTATGTGTCCCTCATTCCTTGAGATCCTGCCTCTCCCACCTGGTTGGTGCTCACCTGTCCCTTCCCCTCCCCCTGTTCTTGGGCTTAAATTCAGCCAGGACCATGCGGTGAGTATTCTGTTGGAGCTGTTACCAAGATTCAGATGTCTGTGACCATGGAATAAAACTCTGGATCAAACCCTCTGCAGAATCCGTCTCCTTTTCCTCTTCACCATCTCCTGAAGCCCTTCCACCTGAGGTAAACTAAGTTTCTACAAGCCTGGACTTGCTTCAGTGCCCAGCTGCAACATCCAGCCAGCCAAAAGTCTCTGAGGTGACATACCACAGTTGTTGCCTTTGGCCAGCAGCAAAGGTCAGACAAGCCCAGGCACAATCTACCTGCTAATACTGGGATCTTATTCCAATAGAGCACTACTCAACAATCCCCTCAGTGGGATGCAACAAAGCTCTTGTTTGAAAACTATCTTTGTGGACAAGAGCAACAAGTCTGCCAGCTCACAACTGTGAGGCAAAGCAGTGTACCTGGAAGGTGTCTAAACAGTAATTTTGCCATGAGACCCAACTACTGGCTACTTCTCGAGCTAGAGGGACAAACAACGGTAAGGCAAGAACACTGATGCAAACACATACAATGACATCTCCCCCCTGCAGGCAGATAAGAGTTACCTGTTTCGCTCATAACTTCTGTGATGAGGTGATATCCTTCCTCTGTCATAATCCGTCCGGTGCCGACTGCTCTCCTGCCTCCTCCTATCCGGGCTGCGGCCGCGATCCCGACGATCGCCGTGGTTGGCGGAGCGGTGCCTGTCGCCGTGCATGTGCCCGTGCTCGCGGTGCCGGTGCTCATCGTAGTGCTTGCTCCTGTCCGGGGAGCGCCGCTCACTTTGGGCCTTCTCTGCCTGGTACTGCCCCGTGTGCCGGAAGTGGCTGCTGCCGGCGCTGCTGCTGGCAGCGCTGCTCGGGAAGGAGCCGGAGCTGTGCTGGTAGCTGCTGAAGCTGGGTGGCGGGAAGGACTGCTGCGAGTAGCCCGCCGAGTACACGGGCTGGTAGCTGACCTGCTGCGGCATGACCGGCGGCGGCGGAGGGTGCGGTACTGTGGGGGGAGGCATCATGTAAGGAAAGGTGCTTTGTCCAGCAGGCGTTCCTGGCACGGGAGTGTTGCTAGGGTTTGGCACTGGTGGAGGAGTGGGAGGGAAACATGGAGGCACTGGGAAGCTCTGCCGCATCTGGTGGTTTGGAAACGGTGGCCTCATGGGACACTGGCTGATGGGATTTTGCGTGGAAGGGGGCACTGGAGGAGGATAGGGCACAAAGTCTGGCCTGGGAGGCATGTACCCGGTGGCGGGAGGGTTGGAGTAGGTTGTCGGAGGGGCGGTTTGCTGCTCATACTGGTACGGCACGGAGGGCTGCTGTGGGTGAAGCTGCCGCAGGTTCTGAGGGCGGTAGGTCTGCGTTGAAGTTCTTGCTCCTGGTCCCCCCTGGCCACGGGGACATCCTCGCCCAGAATGGAAAGACATGGCTCACCTTTATTGAGGAGAATAAAAATCCAGAGTCACACGTTTTTTGTAAGATGTCCTCAATGCACCCGCAGGAGCTACTCCTGAAGTGCTGAAATTGCAGTTTCCTTTAACAGAAGCAGTAAATGATATCCACTTTCACTGGGAGCTTTGTGCTCCTCAGACCTTTAGTGCAGGCCATTTATGGCCCTTTTGATTCCTTCAAGCCTCTAATCTACGAAAGCACTTACTGTCTTCAAGCCAGAACCCAAGCTAGATGATGCTTTATCAGTTGAGGCAATGTAATTTCAACAAATTATTGTCAAGAATACAAGCACCTCCACCAGTACTTCGACACTTTGATATAAAACCTCTGGATACCCCACACCAAAGAAATCACTCATTACTAATAGCTGCAGTGGTCATCCAAAGTTGCATAACAAAGAGTTCTCTCTAGAACACAATTCTAAACTTTGGGCAGAATGACTTGACTAACATCTCATTGCATGCCACCTGGCCCAACAAATCATGTAAATTTTTAAATTAAATACTAGCAATTTACACTCACTATTGAGTCCCCAATGTACTAAGGACTGAATTCAACAGACTCTTCAAAGTGTTTTAAGTGAACTAGTTATATTTTTTATGAATAAACAGGTTACACATCCTATAGGCTATGAAAAAAAAATCATGTAGACTGTGCTATTCTTTAACTTCTGTTGAAATAAACAATTCCCAAGAAATCCCTCAACAGCCTTCTCGGCCCTGCTACCCTTGAGAAACTATCACTGCTTAAAGTAGGTTTAAGTGTTGCTGAAAACTAGGCATGTATTTAAGGCATTATATTTATAAATGAAAGCACTGTGCTTCATTAAAGTTTAAATTGATTCTTTAATAACAATGTTAAGTTTCAAAACCTGAAAACAGGGGAAAAACACTAAAGAAAATCTACGGCTGGAATGGAAGGATAGGTGAAAAAAATGACCCAAGCACTTCCAAAGTCAAATCCTGTTTTCTGTAAGGGAAAGTGAGAAAGAAAGGGGAGACATACATACACACAATTGGAAAGATGACCAGAAAAAGGAAATAAAGCCTTCCTTTCACTGAGGCTTTGCTGATGCTGAAGTACATGCACAGAATATTCTCCCACCTGCTATAGTGCAACATGGCCAACCTGGACTGCTCAGAGCACTGCTCTCAGCTGCATCCTGGTGACACTGCAGTAAAAGATGCAGCACTTGCTGAGAGAAAGTAGACAGCTCCTGGTGCATTGGAGGGAGAAAGGAAAAGAAACACAGGGGAAAAGGACTGATATCAAAGAGGAGGAACCAAGAGGACTCTTACACATGCAGGGCTTAGTGGAAGTCACTGGAATTGGTAGTGGTCATTCCCTCTCCAGAACAACCAAGGGCCAATGTGAGTGAGAATCCCACACTTTGAGGAGACAGCAGCCATGATGGTATAAAGCCATTTGTTCCTTCCAGTCAGCCTGTACCTGCTCAGCACCCTCTGATATAAGGGCTCTCAAAAAAAAAAAAAAAAAGCCACAACAAACCAGGGGAAAAAAAAAGAAAGTTAATGTCCATTTTGTGTGGCAATAGGGCATCCTTTTGATATCACTAATTATAATCCATCAGATGCTGAATTAATTTTGCTTTGGTTCTCCTGTTGTGCTCTTACACAGCTCAGGCTTGCAACAGAAGACTGTTCTAGACTTTGCTAACGTTCACATACACATTTTATTTAAACAGGCTGTACCACAGTGCCTTGTCTTTAGGTGTGCTCCTTTCTAACATGTCACAGCATTCAAACAAAGGGTCTTGTTTATCAGCTCTCTGATCTCCCTGCCACCAGAGAACCGCTCTTGTTCTACCACTTTAATTTCAGTCCTTCAGGGATGCACAGAATCACAACTGGAAAAAAAGATTCAAGAACACAAGAAACTATTTTACATGCCCAAATTATTTTAAAGCTCCCTCTGCTGCAAACTCAAGTCCCATTCAACTTTCATTTAAAGTTAAATAAGTTCGAAAACACAGAAGAGGGCAAACTCCCCTTCCCCTGTCACCTAAAGAGGAATTTTATTGCACTTACAGGAGCCATTGCATTCTAAAGCAGAACTGGTCTCCTGAAAAACACTGAATAAACTCGCCTCTCCCGGCAGACGCCCTGCTGAGAGCAACAGGGCACTGACACGTGGAGAAGAGAGCACTGAGAGGTGATATTATCAATGTCTATATAAGTGTCTAAGCGAGGGAATCAAAGAGGATGGAGGCCGGCTTCAGTGAATGAGCACAAGAGTGAAAGGGCAGAAACTGATGCACAGGAAGTTCCACCTGAACATGAGGAAGAACTTCTCCAAGTGTGCAGCTGCCCACGGACCGAACGGATTCCACAGAGAGGCTGCGGAATCTCCCTCACCGGAGATATTCAAGAGCTGTCTGAACACAATCCTATGCCACGCGCTCTGGGATGACCCTGCTGGAGCAGGGAGATTGGACCCGATGACCACTGTGGTCCCTTCCGACCTGATCCATCCAGTGCCACCCGGCCTCACCCCACCGCCGCCCCTCGACGGCTCGAGGGCTGGGGGCACGGAGCCGCTGAGCCGCCCCTGGCCGGGCCCCGCTCGGCCGCAGGGCCCCGCCAGCCCGACCCCACCAGCCCGACCCCCCCAGCCCCGTGGAGCCGCTGGGCTCCGACCCCAGGACCGCGCTCCCGCCACGCTACGGCCGCGACCTCTGCGGAGCCCCGCGAGCAGCGCGGAGCGGCCCCAAGGCGGCCCCGCCGCCCCTCGCCGCGCAGCCCGGCATGCCGAGCCCACCTGGCGCCCCCGCCGCCGCCGAGGCCAGCGCCGTCCGCAGCGCCCCGGCTCCGGAACAGGAAAGCGGTGGGAGGCGCTGCGGGCGGAAGCGCCGCCCGCCCGAGGGGAGCGGCGGCATGAGCGGAGCGGAGCCGGGGCCGGGGCCCGGCGGCGCCGCCCGGCCCGGAGCGGCCTCCCGGCGGCATTACCCGGCCCTGCCCGTGTGGGTGGTGGAAGACCACCAGGACGTGAGTGCCCCGCGCTGGGCTGCCGCGCGATGAGGAGTCCCCCGGGTGGGGCATGGGGAGCGGTTTCGTTTGCTCCTGTTTGTGTGAGTTTGTTGGCGGGTTTCTCCGCGGTGCGGATGGAAGCCAAGAGAAGTGCCCGGTGCGCTCACCGGCGACCTCCCCGGGAGATGGGCTATCCCGTCTTGTGTGCGGGTTTTCCGGGCGCTGCCTTGGGAACGGCCCTCCCCTCCGCAGCCGCGCACAAACTCCAAAGCTGCCTTCCCTTCCGCTGCTGAAACATCAATGAACTTCAGCGCCCAGCTGACTGATTTTCCTTCCCGATTCAGCGACTGAGCTACTTATTGCCATGATCGTATTTTGGCATCTTTTAAAGCCATCATTGCTGAATGTTTTTTTGTCTTCTTTGTATCATAGATTGCTGTGATTTAAAGGTGATAATACCTACGTTACACTGCTGTTATAATTTTCTAGCTATTAGTGAGGTGCTTGGAAACTCAACCCTACCCAGTGTATGGCATGTCAGCAGAGGATAATAAATATAATCCCATCCCAACTAGTAGATTGGCTCCCACTTGATGAGAAATGTTAAAAATCTGGAGGTTTGCTTTTTTTTCGTGGACTCATTGAAAAGGGGAGTAAAGCAGGAATTGCTTTTGAACTGCTGCATCTGGTTTCTCATGAGGTATTTTATAATAGCATAAACTGAGGCTTTAATCCTAAAATAAAGATTCTTTACTAGATTCTTTGCAAAGAGAAAATATTAGTGTAGTAAAGTTTATTAAAGACAATAATTTTACAAAATTTTAAGTACTTTAATACAATTCTTTTTTGCTAAGACTCAGTGAATATGTGATGCTGTGACAGCTGGTTTTTCATGGTAGCCAAGGACTTAGACTGTTACTGTGATATGAATTCTGACGTTATGCTTCTTAATGGTCCTTCTTTGTTTTAGTCTCTATATTTCTTTTTTAAATTAGCTTAAAATTCTATTAATACTATATAATTAATTTAAAATGTTTTCATTGTAGGAGTGTGGATGAATTGGTCTATCTTGCATAAAACATAAATGGCTTTTTGTCCCAAAGTATAAGAATTTCACAGAAAATTTTATATCAGCCTTATTGACAATGATGTTCCTCAAGAGTGAGTTGTCAGTAGCTGCATCATGCACTGATTAATACTAACAGTTGTGATGAAGGAAATTTTGTTCTAATCCAAATCAAGAGAACTTGCAAGGTTAGAGAACTTACAAGTCTCTCTTGTCTCTTGCAATCGGTAGTTGCACTTACCTGAGGTAAAGCTTCAATTTTAATTGTAAATACTGTAGGTTGTTTAGTAGGCCAGATTGCTTCTTTTTTACAAAGAAGTAAAAGCCATGGGTCAGGGAACCCATGTTGATTTTAGTCTTTTTTTATCTACTATTGCAATAATATTAATATGTTTTATGGTTATGCCTATGCAGTATGCAGGGTTTGTCATCTTAATCAGTTTTATGCCCAAAAAAGTAGATCAGTTGCTGTGATAATGCAGAGGTCACACATAATTTTTGTTGCTTTTTACAGTCTTCACATTCCCTGTATAATAGGGCTGTGATTCACAACCCTTGATGAATTTGCTCTGGTAGCCAAGGCAGTTGATGCCTTCTAACTGTGGAAGAGACTCTGTGTACTGCAGCTCCAAGAGGAATCAACCATCAGTTCTCTCATTTTTACCACCCTATGTTATTGCAGTGCAGTGGTTTGCTGTGCTGTAAATTGGTGAGTTGCCTCATCTGTTTTTCACACTTCTGAGTGAAGAACTTCAACAGAGAATAAAGTTGGGCAGTTGAGAAAGGTAGTCTCTATTGCAAACAGTCATGGAGGGATTAGGAATTAATTCTTCAAGAGGAGTAAGTTTAATGGTCAGCTAAAGTTTAAATCATGGTGGTGTCAGTTTTCAATCTGTATCACTTAATTTATAAGGAGCAAACTGTTTTTATCTCCATAGCACCAGTGCATGGTGAGGAAGCTTTATATCATGGAGAAAGAAGCACACAGTCAATGATCTGCAGAAGAGGAAAGGCATTCCTGAGTCTTAATTGTAAATGGAAAAATAACCTCAAACATCTAGGAATTGAGTTGAATGGCTAGTGAGAAGAGCTGCTGCAAACAAGACATCCTATAAAGAAGGGAAAAGGGTGTAAAGCTGTGACTCTTCAGCAGTTTTTCATCTGGAATGCTTGGACTTAATAACAATTACTGTTCATGAGTTGTCTTGCCACTGGAGTTACTTCCCCTTTGTATTGTATTCTGTCTCCTCCTCCCTCTAATCCAAATTCTAAAGGAACTAAAGTGGTACTGGTGGTTTTGCTGCTAAAGCTGTTGCATTTTTCAGCCCACTGGCTATCATTAAAATGTTTTTGTTTCTGTTGCTTTAGGTGCTGCCTTTCATTTATCGTGCCATTGGCTCAAAGCATCTTCCTGCCAGTAACATCAGTTTTGTTCATCTTGATTCCCATCCAGACCTTCTTATTCCTGTGAATATGCCTGCAGACACTGTATTTGACAAAGAAGCTCTTTTTAGGTATGTCCTGGGTACTGCATCAGAGTAGACTTTAATTCTTGCTGCCTTTGATTCACAGTGAATATTGCTATGGCTGCCTAGGAAGGATGAACAAAAGAGATATAAGTCAAATTCAAGTTGTATCTTCTTTCTTTTCACTTTTGCTGAAACTTTATTTTTAATGGCTAAAGTTTCCTTGCATATCAAGCAAGTTAAGATGTATGAGTTTGCTTTGTGTATTGGCTCAACAGTGTATGATGGTATTATCCCAAGTGGTTCCTCTGGGCAACAGGATAGCACTTTGCATGGATGCTTTGTCTGAAATCTGTAGTTATGAAACAGTCTTTCTCTCTTCACACTGAAAAACTGACTTTGAGATTGAAATAGCACATCCTTTGTTGGTATGCTGAATATGTGAAGTAGAACAAGATGTTCCTATTGCAATCATAAAGAACACTATTTTCCCCACCTAAGGTAGATAGGTAATAAGCCACTATGGTCTCTGCTATTGTCTTGCTCTTCCTGTTTTAAAAGAAATAAATGTTTATTTTAAAATAAATATTTTAAATAAAATTTTAAAATAAATAAACAGTATTTAAAATACTGTTTGCATCACTATTATGGTGATTTACAGCAATTACAAGCTGATGCATTTGATATATTTGAATCACCTTATCCAGAGTCAATATTTTGTTCTCTTTATTGGATGAATAAAAGGTTTTGTGGACTCTATCACAAAATCATTGAATGCTTTGGGTTGGAAGGAACCTTAAAGATCATTTAGTTCCTGCTCCCCTTCCATGGGCAAGGACACTTTCCACTAGACCAGGTTGCTTAGTCCCCATCCCACCTGGCCTTGAACAGTTCTGGCCATGGGTCACCTACAACTGTTTGGACAGCCCATGTGTCTCACCACACTCACAATGAAGAATTTCTTCCTAATATCTAATCTAAACACACTCTCTTTCAGTTTAAACCTTTGTCCTATGACTACATGCCCTTGTAAAAAGTCCCTCTCCAGCTTTCTTGTAGTCCCTTTTGGGGTATTGGAAGGTACTATAAGGTCTCTGTGCAGCCTCCAGGCTGAACAACCCCAACCCTCTCAATCTGTCCTCACAGGAAAGGCATTCCAGCCCTCTGATCATCTTGGTGGTTCTCTGGACCATGTAATTGTTATGTGGGGGGCCCAGGCCTGGGTGCAGCACTCCAGCACTCCAGGTGTGTGGTTCCACAAGAGCAGAATATGGGGGAAGAATCTCCTCCTGTGACCTGCTCGTCATGCTTCTTTTGCTGCAGCCCAGGATACAGCTGGCGTCATACACCTAAAAAAATAGGGTCTTGATAATGAGGAAAGATATTAATCCTGTGGGTATGGATTGACTCACTTTAATTATTGGGATGATATTTTAAATACACTTGGAGCAGTTTACAGTAAAACAGTCTCATGAGGTCAGTTTGAAGTTATTTACGATAATGTTGATGATGTTCCTTGCACTTTTCCTCTCATGTATTAAGAGATAAAGGGCATAGAATCACAGAATCAGTAAGGTCTGAAAGGCCTCTAAGATTATCAAGTCCAGCCATGAACCTGACACTGCCAGGTCCACCACTAAGGAGTTTATAATCAAAGTGTCACGCCAAGAGTGAAGCCAATTCCATTCTAGGTCTGAACTTTTTTATACCTACTAGAGACATTCTTGTTTTGTCTTATGAATAAAGATTTCCCTCTTTTTCTTTCTTTGTTGATGTTACCTTACATGGAGTACTAGTTTTAGATGATTTGCATGGGGGCCTTCAAGATGTGGAAGATGTTTGTGGTGTTCTTGACCATTTTTATTCATAGGGAAAGTAACATTGCTCTCTTCTGTCTTTCTCTACTGATTATAGTGAATTAAGTATTGAAAACTGGATTATGCCTGCTGTTTATGCTGGCCATATTTCTCAAGTAGTGTGGCTTCACCCACGCTGGGCTCAGCAGATCTCGGAAGGGAAACACAGTTTTCTGGTTGGGAAAGATGTATCAACAACAACTATCAGGTAAATTGTCTGCTGACATATACTAGTAATATAAAGGTCATCTCCATTGCTTTTCACTGGAATTTTTTTATTTTCTTGGGTAAAGATGAACATTTAATTTGTATTTATAATTCCCTTAGAACCTAATGCAGTTACTCTTGTATCAATTTAGTCTTTGGTCTAACTAGTAAAATTGTTATTTGGTATCAGCCATGACTGTTTTTCTAGTGTGGAGCGGGTTTTTTTGTTTGTTTGGAGTTTTTTGGTTTTGGAAGTTGATCTAGTTGAGCACTGAAACAGGCACTCAGGTAGTGAATTCTCCATCATTCGATAAAGGACAATTCATCTGAGCAGCTTCACCTAGCTGTGAAGTCAGTTCTGCTTTGATCAATGATTGACTAGAAACCTCCAGTTGTCTCTTTGAATCTTAATTATTCTATGATTCAAGTTTGAATCAGAGCCCCTCATCATTCTGCAGGATGCAGTCCACAATAATTTTGCATTCACCATATTCACAGTGTTGGGATTTTGTGCAGCTTTAGGGGATATTTACAAATCATGTCACTTGTGAGCATAGCAAAATAAATCTTTTGAAGCAAGTTTAATGGAAAACAGCAGTGAAATGCTTTGTTTTACCACCTTAAATAAAACACTTAAAGCTCTACAATTATGAATCTGAAGCCTAAAGGGAACCTGAATGATTTTTTTTAAATAGCTAGTGCTTTCTGTTACATTTAATAATTTAGCCAGTACATAGGAATAAGTCACAATGGTCGAGTTGCTCTCTCACTAGTGGCCTTAGCAGGCATGAAAACAACATTTCAGACTTCCTTTTTGAAGACAGTTGGGTACATTTTCTTCAGATTCTAGGCTTACCAGAACCATGAAGGAAGAAAGGGAAAGAGTCCTCATAAATACAAATGTCCTAAAAGTTTTGATGAGAAGAGATGGATAGGCAATAGATACAGCCTCATCATTAGTGGACACTAACATACTATGAGCTCATGGTGAACCCTGCAGAATTTCTGAGACAATGTACTGATTGACTAGTCAACAAGATGGGGTTGTAATCCAGCCGCTGACCTTGACAAACTGAGGGTAATCCATTCACAAGACACCGGGGAACTGAACTTCAAATTTCTCCTGCTTAGGAAATTATTTGTCTTTGTGGTTGATTGATGGTGATACCCTGTATTCAAATGAGGCCTTATCACAAGCGAGCAGTTCACACTTCTTAATCTTATTTGTAATTTGAGTTTATGATGATTAAGGCTTAATGTAGGTTGAAGGCTCAATGTAGGTTGTAAGGCTCAATGCAGGTTGAAAATCCTGTTTTTTAAATTTTCACTGTAAGCAGAAGTTTTAGTGTTGCTTTTGGCTGGTTAGTTGTTTTGTGGGATTTTTAAGTGGATTCAATTGCTAGTTAGCTAATTATCCTCTAGTTACCATGTTTGTCACTTAGGGAATGTGTTGGAGGTAAAAAAAAGTTAAAATCTACTTATGGATTCATAATATTGTACTTTCACTAAGTAAATATTCATGCATTTCAGGGCACTTCATAAACCCAACTATCATAATTTTCCCAGAAAATTACAAAACACGACAAAACAAGACAAAAGCTTTGCAATCTTATGTGCCGTAGTATCTTGTCAATTCTGGATGTTATTTATTTACTTATTTAGAGACAATTCAATTTCAATTTTAATTTGAAATTGAGTTGTCTTTAAAATGCAATTCAATTTCAAATTAATCTTAGTAGCACATAAGGCATTATCTTTTTCTTATCCATTAAAACTTTGTGGGGCTATTATAATAAATATAGAGTGAATATATTCCACAATAAAGAAGTAGAAAAAACTTTAATATAATTTAAACCTGAGGATTAAAAGAAATAATTTTGTCTACACAATTTTATGACTTTCATTAGCCATCAAACATCTTTTTCATTCTTCTCTGGGTCCCTAAAGTATAAAATGCTTTATCCTATGCTCTTTGCCTAAATGTGTATTAACTGGGATTTATTGTCAATTGTAGGGTTACAGGCACAGATAATTACTTCTTAAGTGATGGTCTTTATGTTCCTGCTGATCAGCTGGAAAACCAGAAGCCTTTAAATTTGCACGTCACTCTCATCAATCCTACTGAATCATCAAACAGCGGTGAAGGAAGTGGCGAAGTAGCATCTGCTAAAAGACTGAAGCTAAATACAGATGACACATCAAGTGCCACTTCTGCCTCTTCAGTGGCTCCTGCTGACTTTGATCACATCACCCAGAGTGTGAAGAAAAAGGAAATGCAAAATGCAGATGCCCTGAATGGGGCAGAAACTTTGGCAGAAGATTCAGCTTCAAGCCATCTTAAAAACAGTGAATGCCCAATAAGGGCCATTGCTAAAGATGTCTGCCAAGTACTGCAGAAGGGGGATGCATATGTTTTGGACATTGACTTAGATTTTTTTTCAGTTAAAAATCCATTTAAAGAAATGTACACACAGGTAAGTATGGAAATTGAGTAGCCTTGTACCACAATATTAGAGTCCCAGCCCTAATATTTATGTCTATGGAGAAACTCTCATCTAAGCTAAATTAGCAGATTACCTGATCATGGTTAATGATTCATGGTAACATTTTAAAGAGGTATTTCCATTTTAAGGAAGTATTTCTAAGGGAATGTATGTGGTGAAAAATTTCAACCATCAAACAGGAGGAGTTTCTTATACTTGGTATCAATATTGAGTGTATGTTCAAACTCATATACTCAACTTCTGCTGTTTGCTTGGGACATAAAAGCTATGCTTGGGTTCCCAGAGATTACCTTCCAAATACCCACTGCAAGATTCATCAGGGGAGATGAGAACCTTTGTCATTTTTTACCCTCTATAACCTGAGCTTAGAAAGCCATGATGGTATCAGGAGACTGCCTTTCAAAAGGCACAGTAGTGTTGATTATCCAAAGAGTGGTACCTTGTCCCGATGAAAGGCTGTTATTCTCATTATTGTCTGCCATACTAGAGTAAGGAAATTCTATTTTTTTGAAGGCTTTGAGGATTGGTTTTCTCATTTGAAGAGTCATGTTCTTACTCTTTTTTTCTTTTTCAAAGACAGAATATGAGCTTTTGCAGGAGTTGTACAATTTCAAGAAGCCACATAAAAATGCAACAGAGGTATGATGCTTCCTTGTGGAACGTATGAAGGAATGATTCTTTTTGTTTACCCAATGAAAATGAGTTACGACAACAGGAAGGAACCTATCAAAGGTGCTTAATGAAGTGGGCTCACATTAAGCTATGCAGCCAAATGCTAATCAGCAGCATCTTAGAATTTTTATTCTATTAAATGTTTTGATTGAATATATGAATTGCATAAATATTTAGTATGAGTGTAAAAAATTGTTTCTGTAAACAAAATGGTAATTGGCACAGAAGGAATGAAAACCTAATAAAACCTAAGCAAACTTGTTTTTTTTATGGTTTAACAGGGCTTAGGTGGAGTGTTTCTTTTTTGGATTTTGGTGGATGGTTCTTTTTTTCTTTTTTTTTATACCTCCCTCCAGTCTCCCATTCCTTCCCTTGTTGCTCTTTCTTGATAGTCAGAGCTGTGATTAATGTGTAATTGGTATTTTACCTTTTTGTTCAGTTGTGGATAGGATGGTATTATGCTTTACTTTAAGTACTACAAAAAAGTACTGTAATGTACTTTTAATTTTATGTGCTGTGTACTTGTAAAACATGGAAATACAGGCTTTCATAATCTCTTCTGAACACTAATACTGAAAGATTCGGCACATTTAATTATCACAAATAAATGAAACCTAATTAATATGTGTGAATAAAGAAATAAAGAGACGTTGAATATTGTCAGATTGATTTTTATATTTCTTAATCAGGAAAAAACAGGTACAGATTTAAAAGATGGTTTTTTTAAATGTGTAGTGGGAAAACCAGAACAAAGGGAGATGATTTAGTCTGAAGGTGTAACAGTTTCTGCAGGCATTTGTTATGATCCTCTTGAAAAGATGTGCTGTAGGAATGAATCGGTTGTTTCTGATTCCCCACTTCCAGTAGGTCAGTCATTACAGAAATTAAATCATAGGATAAGTCATGATGTTCTTGCCTCTTTTTTTCCCCTAACATACTTTTGTGTATGCTTATTTAAAGGAAGACTTGCTGGATTGTGTTGAAAACCGTGTTCATCAGCTGGAAGATCTGGAAGCAGCATTTGCGGATTTGTGTGACACTGATGATGAAGAAACCATACAGAAATGGGCTTCATATCCTGGGTAGGAAGTTTTTAAGAGGCCTAAATTGCAAATAGAAGTTTGAGAACTGATTAGTTCAGCATTTTGATAAGAGAGAAGGATAGGATCTCTGCAAGTGTATGCTTTTTTCTTTAGTCCTAGAGGAGAAAGAGACAGAACAAAAGGAAAGGCAGTCTACTGTCTTCAGCACTACTGTAAGCTTTGGAAGCTCAGTCTTGTACAGCTTCATGCAAGTTTTGTTGTCTATGGGTGGAGGCGTATTTGGTGACTAAAACCTTGGTCATCAGTGTGTAGCACAGCTCTCAAAAAAGGCAACAAACCGAGGAGGACATGGAGAAGCAGTTCTTTAGTGCTCCCAAAGGTTCTGCTTTCTTTGGAAAAATGGAAATTCCTGGAACTGTACCTGAGCAACAGTCTCCACTAAACGTCTGAACTGCATCACTCCACTGTTAAACTAGATGTTTTCACATGAAAAGTTTTCAGGTGGAAAGAGACAGGGAAAGTCTGAGCTTTTCCTTGATAGGAAAAGCACTCATTTTCCACATCAAATGCAGCAGTTACTGTACAACCTCTCTAACAGTGACAAGAAGTATTTCCTATAAAGTTCATATGACTTTTGAGCTGCAGCAGCTTCTCTGCAGATATACCCTAAAAGAAGCACAAGGAAGACTTGCCAGAGGCAGGTATAAATATAGGGGCTTTATAAGAAAGACCTGGTGAAACAGTACAATAATACTGATAATTTCTATTTTTGCAAGTGCAAGATGACAGAGGAGCAAATTTCCTTTTCAAATCTTAGGCCATCATTTCTACTTCCTTCTTTTTTTCCTCACCTTTTTTTTTCTAGCCATTTAAGGTATATAAATGTTTCCAACTATTTGTAAAAAATTTCGGTTTTGTTTTCACTCCAGAATGAAGCCACTTGTTCAACTAGTTCACAGTTTGAAAACCAGGATGGAAAGCCCAGACTATGAAATGGTAGGTGACAAAAAGCAGAAAGCAGACAGATGTCAAAAGCATAGCTTCAGCAGAGAGGGAGAGAGTCATACTTCCTTCCAGACTTGCTTCTTGATTCAGAACTTCCTGTGATTTTGGTAATTTTCCTCAGGTTTTATGTCTTATTACTTAGACCAGCTTTTCCTTTCAAAGCTGCTAAAATTCTAGCCTGCTTGTCTGTGTATATTTAGGCAACTTTAGTGTGATCTCCCAGGACTGTGATGTCTTGGGTTGCATCCTCTGAATGGAGGCTAAATTTCACCAGTATGTTGGTCTCCTTTGTAGAACTTAAAATAAGGTACCTATTTATAACCTATCACAGCTATATCATCTTCAAGGACTCCAACATACTCTGAATTCATAAGAAGAGGTACAGGGTACTGGAGATAATGAAATAATCCATGCAACCTCCAGAATTTTACTTGTTTAAGAGGTGCAAGTTACCTGATGGGCTAGGGATGGTTTCCTAAAGACTGTCTACATGCATAAGCTATATTGATAATTCATCAACAGAAATGAAATCTCTCTTTAATTTACCCACAGGTCCATCAGGCTGGTCTCACCTGTGATTACGTGGAGCTTCCTCACCATGTTAGCACTGAAGACGAGATTGAAGGCCTCATACAGTCCATTAAAGTTCTACTGACAGATCTGCCCAAGCCCACACTGGTGACAGTTGCTCGGTAAGACTGTGCAGATATTTTGACTTCAAAATGTCTGGACTATGCTAATGAAGTTAAATGATCCTGTCAGCATAGCACTAGTTCTGTTAAAGTGGAAGCCTAACAGTGCTTCAGCACAGGTTATATAAAGGCAGTGTTGAGGCCTTGTGTGTGTTGGGATTGATAGCTGTCACTGGAGTTCATACATCTCTGCTCGTGTTACTTGAGCTAATTAGGATAAAGGTGGCTTGGGCTGAAACCCCACCTTCCTTACTCTCTTACTCTAGGGTTTGTTGTACTACAGATAGGATTTCTTTTTTTCAGTGAAGCTTTTGTTGGAATGAGTTTTCATCTAGTAGACTAAAAGGCATTTATGTTCTTCAAAGTTCTATTAAAACTTTATTATGGGGTAAAAGTTGGGCCTCCAGAATTGTAAAGGTTTTATTTAGAACAGCAGAATGGAGTTTGAAGCCAGAGACCTGGGAGAACCAAAGAACTGGCCTGAAAAAATCTAATTTGAAGACCACAGTGTGCCTCTTGACAAATTATTGCATTTTAATCAGTCAGAAATACTTAGTATTGTGCTCTTAAAGCATCAGCAGCAATAGCAGAAGCTGATATGGAACTGGTTTTGGCAACAAGAACTAATATGGCTAATGTCTGCAAAAAAATGAAGTCTATTCCCAATTGCAGGGTTATTATCCACTGCTGTGGAGAAACCAGAATCATCTCTGTAGATCCCAACAGATAAAAAATTCAGGAAACCAGTTTTTAATTGTATCTGTTTGAAGTTCATTAATGCATACTGTAAAAAATGCTATATGCCAGGTATTGTGAAGATGTTTTTCAAGTTTTCCTGCCTACTTTACCAGTAGCATTTCAATTTCTTAATCTAAATTTTCTATGTGTCCTTTAATTAGATAATTTCTTTGAGCTTTGACTGCCAGGGTGTTCTGTACCAGATTCAGGGAGAGAGTAGAAAGAACAGGAAAGATTACATCATGTTCCTGATCTGCTGCAGACTTTCTGTTAAACTTGACATGTAGTGCTAAGAAGCACAGCACTATGCATCAAAGGGATACTGGGAGGCAAAACTTGCCACAGTTTGAAAGAAGCTTCAGCCTAGCCACAGGGCATTGCAGGAGTACACAGTGTGGTTATGGTTGTGATATCTGTATCCCCATGATTTTTTTTTTTTTTTTTACAGATCAAGTTTGGATGATTACTGCCCTTCAGAGCAGGTTGACATCATTCAAGAGAAGGTTCTCGATTTACTGCGTTCTGTGTATGGCTCACTGGATGTGCACTTAGATTACTCAAGCACTTCATCTTCTTCGTGACCTTTCTTTGTGTGTTGCTGTCTGATGCAGAGGATTAATTTAAATTGTTCATTAGCTGTGAGTGCAAGGGTAACACTGCTGTTATTTCAGCAGGTGGCACTAGAACCCAAGCTGACCAAGCTAGGGTTTGAGTTGCATTGTTTTCTCCACAGCTGCACCTGTTTGGCTTTGTTCAGATTAGTGCTGTAATTCTTATTTTTACTGTCTTGTTTCTTAAAATTGGTGCAAGAGAAACAATGTCTTGTCCATAAATTGAGGGGTTATGTCCCATTTCTTTGTGTCTGTAAAAAAAATAAAATACATAATTTCTTAAAATGGTTTTCCATTATGTTTGTTTTTTGTAATTTGGTAACAGATTTGCTCCTGAGTTGTATTATGTCTTTTAAAAACTGGTCTTAAAAATGCCCTTAAAACTGTTGATCTATGTAGTGATCTTTCCTATCTGTTGTGCTGGGATTACCCTCTCATTTCTCTAGAGCAGCTCATAGTTTCTGCCCCATCCACAGAATATCATTCATGTTTATTTTCTGTTTCACTAATGTCTTATTTTGCCTTAGAGTATTTTATTGGTGGCTTAGGTAATATCCCTAATGTACAGACATTGGGCTTGGTATTTTCACTTTTACATTATTTTGAGGATAAAAAGTATGTGTGCATGTGCATGCTTTTATGTTTTAAATCCTGTAAGGAATTGATGGCTCTTCAGAAACAAAGATTTTGCTTCACTGAAGTCAGCAGCAAAACGTTCTGTACCAGGTTTTCACTCATTTTGGTATTGCTATTTAGGTAATAACAGTTCTAGAACTACTTAATTCAGAAATCAATATAGTTATAGAGAATACTGGCACTTTCAGAGGAAAAAACCCCACAGCTTTTATTGGGAATGAAACTGAAACAGGAAAGAAAATGCTACCTAGAATATGGTCTTTTATCATGAATAAATTTTGCTTGTAGTTTCTTCTGAAAAAACGGAGTTCATTTGCTAACTTTGCTTTACAAAAACTTTGTGCACTTTTAGAGTTTTTTATTGCTTCTGTTGTTGGTAAAAATGACTATATTATAGATTGTAAATATATCATTCCTTTAAAATATTTGTTCTAGTAGAATACATTCCATGGCCATGGATCTGTTTTATTTGTGGTTTTGTGACATGCCTGTCACAAGGAGCCTTGGAGCCAATATCCTTAATACTTCATCAATTATGAAGAGCCATACATCACATGCAGCAATGAAGTGCAGTCAGATATGTGCTGCTTGTGGAAAGATTGTTTTTTTTAAAAGTTAAAGATCCTTCATGCTGGGCTTTTCTAAGGTTGTAGAAAACAAAAAAACCATGTGCGGCGTGGCTGAGACCCTCCTGGGTGGGCAGGTAAGAACCAGTTTTCCTTGGCGAAAGCCTAGGCAAGGGAGGGCAAAATGCTGCCTGGCAGCCAGGGCTGAGGGATCCAGGTGGGGGAACTTCTACTATGGACCAAACCAAACAGTGCCTGCATCTCTGCCTGGATCCTGCTCTGGGGTGCCTTGTTTGATGGGGTAACAAAATTAAACTTACTTCTTTGCATTTTATCTGTGGTCTTGTGGTTGTTCCTGTGCCCTGCCTATCCTGGTTCATGTACATGGGTTCACAGTTTTGCAGAATCAAAATAGCATCCTGAATTGTCTTTGTTTTTCAAGTTAATTAAGAAATCTTCCTTTCAAGCATAGTTTTTGTTTATGAATGTAAAATTGTTATAATTTGAAATCTCTGACTAATAGTCTGTGTATATGGCAGAAAATGCCAGTCTCACATAATAACAAAACATTAACTTCTACATTAAGGACATTTGCAAGGTTGTTTTTTACATTGGTGAAAGGTAATCAAGCCAAGCCAGAAACAGGTGTCTTTATTTCTTGTTTTTGCCCTATAGGGCTTCTTTATTAACCAGATGCACAAATCCTCCATTCCCTGTGTCTGCCTCATTTTCTTCTCAGCCTATTTCAGAATAATGTATTATGCAGAACAAGACAGTGAAATGCAGTGCATAACTCCTCTAATCAGCGCTGCAACGATGGGACATGAAGGCCCATTAGAAATAAACCCACTTGAGGATATTTACATAGCAGCACTGTCTAAGTCAGCAGCTTCATATTGGCTCTTGTGTCTAGATGCCTCTGGCAGCATGGAGGAGTAAGGATGCCCACTTTGGAGGGCATTTGCACATATTCCTCAGTGGTAGAGATAGTTCTGTTGTAATTGGGGCTCAGCTTCCAAGATGCACTATCAACTTGAGCAACCACACACACACATTTGTGTGCAGAATGAAATAGGGCCTTAAACCAGATATGCTGAGCAGCCTCTGCCTTCCCTGTGCATCACCAGCTCTGCACCCCAGCCGCACTGTGGATTCCCAGCTTGTCACTGTGGAACAAAGTGAGCTTTTCCAAGAAGAATGAACAGGGGATGAGTCAGATGGTGGAGGTTACTGTGTTCTCTGTTACCATTTCTTCCCCTCCTTGAGGCTTCTGTCTCAGTGTCTGTGGCAGCTCTGTCCCTTCCTGTATTTGGTAATGATGCTGTGAGTCAGTCACCCTAGACTTGGTCAGACCTGGACTGTGGGGGTTGAAGAGTCAACTCCATAAATACCTTCTTTCTGCTGCTACAGAGGAAGAAGAAGAAAATTCTCCAGCAAGATCAGTCTTGGGGGATGAGACCCTTTGCTGGAGGTATCTAAAAGATCTGCATATGTGGCACTTAGGGCTATGGTTTTTATGGCAGTGTGGGGTTAATGATTTGACTCAATGATCTTAGAGGTATTTTCCAACCTGAACAGTTCTGTATTTCTAGGAGACCCAGAATATGGGTCCTCTCTCCTTATCCAAGGAACATCCAAGGAATAGCACTGGAAGGTCCCCTCCTGTCCTGCTTGATGGCACCTGTTGTCCCCATCAGTGTCACAAACCCTTTGTAAGTCCTAGCTGCTCTCAGGAGGAAGGATGAAAGACATTCATTTTCTGCCTTCAGCTTTCAATGTCTCTTGCAAGAGGAAATCTCTCCTCACAGCAGAGGTGCAGCTCCCACTCCACAGTGTAGATAGTCAGGGACCCAGTAAATGCAGTCCCATCTCCTGCTTTGGCACAAATTCCCTCACTGTCATCAGGTTCAGCCACAGACCAGCCCTGGGAGAGAGACAGAGCGGCTTAGTTTTACAATGACCCCAAGGGAGAATCATATCAGCCCCCCAAAACTATTTTTATTCCTTACTTGCCTTTGAGGCTGTGGATCACTGTCTGCTCCGCTTCTCTGTCACAAGCACAGCTCTGGAAGGTGCTGGGTCCCTTCCCTGGCGCTCGCTTCCCCACAGACATAAAGGTACTCCCAACTCCCCCCTCTCTCAGATAAGGGAGCTCTTACCTGCAAAGGAAAGCTTTACACACTGTAGTCCCAAGCATTCATGAAGTGGCTCTGGTCTGAATTTTTGTCTGGTTTTGTGTAGCAGTTGGGTATTATTTTTACAGTTTTATTGCAATTTCCTTTAAGATTAAATAATTTCAAACAGGGGTACTTACCCTGTCAAGGAAGAAGCCATCTTATTGGAGAGAGAAAAATCATTCCAGCCTTCCCTTGCAAAAAGCTAGTTATGTATTTTCAGCAGCTTCCATGAATATCCTGATAGTTTTGCATGACTTCTACCACAGGGGATTGCACTGTCTGCTGGGCTGCATTCTTAGGGATTTCATGCCTTTAGCAGATGTGTTAGTATACTGTTTTACTCAAGGTCCTTGCCAAAACAAATAAGTACTAATTTGTGTTTGTCTTTCACTGCTTTACAGAATGAGGTCCATTGCAAACTTAGGGCTAGGTCTCCCAAAACAAGTCTAAAATATGTCCATCTCTTGCCTGCCCTAGGCAATACTAAATCTTATATTTATTTAATGTACAATGTCACAATGTACAGTCAATAAATATCTCCCAGCAGAGTTACTAATACAAATATTATACTGAATATCGCTGTAGTACATTATTTTCTAGTGTTTTTGTCCTTTGTATTCTGCTTGCTACCCAGCATCTCTTCCAGCATTTCTTGTAATTGCTTCTAAACATGCTTTGGACAACACAAATTTAATAAGACTCCAAGGTGTACAAAAGCCTTCTGGAACACTGTGCCCTGCACCAGGTGGTCCTTCCCCACTGCTTGATTTTGCTCAGCTCTGAATACTAATGGCCAAGCTAACTCAAATACCTGACTTTAATGTATCAAAGCCTGCCTTGGGACTTTCTTCTTTTTACTTCAACTTTATTTATTTTCTCACTTGAAGTACAAGTCACCAGCTACCCAATTCTTTCTGACACTGAATGCCTGATATCATTTGTGCAATTCCAGTTGCCCAGACTCGATGCCCCTTGTTCCAGTAAGACCTCTAGCTTCTCTGAGTCACTCCCTACCTTAGCTCTAAGCCAGTCATTAAAATGAGACCTGGCTGATACTCCTCAGTAAATCCTGATTTTTTTATTAAGTGGTATTTCAAGTACGTCTGTAACTAAAGTCAGAATATGGATGCATTTTTGTTTCTGTACCTCTTGGTGCTATTTTATTTAAATTAATATGGCACTGCTCAAAGCTAGCTCATAAAAGTTCCTTAGAAGTACAAGTCAAAAGCTGATGCATTAGTGACTTTAATTTCCCAGATAGTCCAAAAGCGTTAGTGAATGTAACAATGTCATGTCAGACAGAAATACTTCACTGATAAGGCTTTTAGTTTCCTTGTTTATAAGTTGCAGTAATATAAATACATTTGTGAAATGCATTTGTAAAATACTTATGGTACTCTGGTTTTTACAGGAAATTTGACAGAATGAAATCTGCAGATTAAAAGCTCTGCCTTTGATGAGGTTATGGATGCTGCTTCCTTTCTAATAAGTCACTCCGTGTATCATTAGACAGTACAGGAATCCAGAAGTAGTTCCCTCTTCTCCCTGTTTCTCAGATTTCAAGGAGGCTAGCAATTCTATTAACAAAACTATTCCCTTCCCTCCCAGCTACTCATTCTTGGTTTTTTTAGATCTACTTCCTTGCCTTAGTTCTCTCCTTTTTTCCTTCTAAGCCTTTAATTCTTTTGATATTTTCTCACTCTTGAGAGCAGATCAATACTAAACTTTAAAAACACATAAGGCACAGAACACTTCTATGCCCTGAATGCCTCATTCTTTAAGCCATAACCTTGTGCACAATGCAGAGCAAGTGACACTAAAATCATCCACAAGAAATCTTACTAAGAAACTATTTATACAGCCATGCTGCTCAAGCCTGTTGCAAAAATATCCTCATAATTAGGTCCAACAGCTGAAATGAAGGACAATTCAGTGAACAAAATACCAGGGACTGGCCTCATGGAGAAGAAACACTTTTGAAGCACTGAATGCTATTGGGGATGAATTCCCACTATTATTTATTTTTGCTGCTGCCTGTGATTCATCAGGTTTCTGAGGAAATCCTGGTAAATGCCTGCCACAGGCCAATAAATGCTTGAAATGTGACTGGAAACAGAAGAGAGTCTGATTACTTAAAGATTTTTTAGGACAAATTTCCAAATATAAATGTGATTTATAGTCCCTTTCTCTTGCGTCTTACATATTTTCCCAACCTGCCAAAGATACTTCCTCAAATTTCCATTTCTCCTTTTTGTAGTTTGCAGTCGTATTTTTGGTGCCTAATTTTATAATTAATAATTCGTAATTATTGTTTAGGTAATTAGAAAAATTCACCTCTTCTTTGATTCACTGGCGATAGTGAAACGTTGACATTTTTATCTGTAATTTTATTAATCTGTAAGAATTTTTCATACTGGGTTGGTCAAAATTGTTTATGTTTTAAATGTATTTGCTTCAATGTGGAGTCTAATTTTTTGCATGATTAAAGAAATGTATGAATATAAGTATTTTCATCTGAAAAATTTAATATATCAATTGAAATAAGATCAAAATGTTACAACTTGCATACTTAGAAGAAAAATAAATTAAAAAAAAATCCTAGCAGTAGCTAAGAATAAGAGTATTCCTGGGACAGCTGACCTGAAATGGCCAAGGGCCTATTCCTTAACACAGAATGTCATGCCCAGGATATAAACTGGAGGAGTTACACAGAAAGGAGTCTGATTGATGCTCAGGGACAGGCTGGGTGTCAGCAAGCAGGTGCTGAGCAATTGGATTGTATATAATTTGTTTCAATTGGGTTTTAGCTCACGCTCTTCCTCTCCCTTAGTATTATTATTGTTGTCATGATCATTATTATTATCATCATTATATTATCCTTTGTTATAATTATTAAACTGTTTTTACCTCAACACAGGATTTAATTTTTTTTCCAGACTCTCCTTCCCATCCTATCATAGGCAAATGGCAGAACATTTTATACCTAGATATACAAAGAAAATTATCATTGTATTGTATGGCATATTACTAACCAATTAAGACAAGTAAATATGATTTTAACTTGTAAACCTAGGGTTGGTATGACAAGTATGTCATCAATGTCTTTAGAGAGTTGGCCATAGAAAGCATTTTAAAGAGTTATCAACAGCTTATGGCT